GTAAAAGTCGTATATCAAATACTAGAGACTTGTGCTTCGGTACACACATACATTTCAACATTATGATTATGTTCTGAAAGTTTCGTTCGGATCGTACGTCTGCGCAGCCCAAGCGCAGTCGCTGCTTACTGCGCAGTTACCAGAGCGCGTTCTTATACGTGCGTGCGGATGCATGTGTATGTATGTATATGTGCATAAATAAGGTGTAGAATGATTAAAATATCAGCTCGGAGGGTTCAGGGTATCTCCTAGTCGAGCAGTCTCGACGGGACCCTTCTTACGTGTTATTATTATTTTTGTTAAATTAAATATTTATAATATACATAGAATCGAATATACATAGAAAGATATTTATAAATGTATATAATATACCTAGAAAGATGTGTGTGGGTATATTATTATTATTTACTAAATCACATTTTTTTTTTTCATTATTTGAAAATAATTATGCATCAGCGTAAGCAATATCATCGATTTTGACAGTCTCATCGCTTCCGCCGGAATGATCGGAATTCGTGTCCGGCGGTAAGGCAGCAGCGCCTCTCATATCCATATGCTCCATTGCCGCCAGGCTGGCGGCCCCATCCCAATATTGGAAGGTTTGCTGTCTAGTGTTGCTGCTGCTATTATTATTGTTGTTATTGCTGTTGTTGTTGTGGCGTGCTGGCTGTTGCTGGCTCTTATTACGCGCCGAGATCAGTTGATTGGGAGCCCACATCTGTCTCTGTGGCACCTCTGGCGGCACTACGGGTGTCTTACGAATGGGCGGATGCAAAACAGGCGTGGCATAGGTAGCATTGCTTGTGGACGGCAGCTGTTGTTGCTGTTGGGATGGAGGCAGTGGCAAACAGTGGGGCACGGCATACTCGACCTCATCAACGGCCGCGTAGGCGGGTGGCATGTCGTCGTCAAAAACATCTAGAAATAGACATAGTAAAGTTAAGTAAATCTATGTTTATTAACTAAGCGCTTAGATATATGATCGCATTGTAGCAAATAAGTCATTAAATAATATTTCTTCAAAGTGCAATTTCGGTAAGAGATCGTTACAATGCCATCCAAAGTCTACAAATCACTTCTCTCCTCCGTTTTAGTTTAAATGAATGTTTTGGAGAACTATGCATTGAAAGTTCGAATTCATAATCTGCAACTTTGCAGGAAAACAACTATAAATATCGAGTTAAATCGAGCTAAGCTATCTCTAATACGATCATATCGTAATACGTGCACATTGTATACGAGCACTACTAATAGTAGATGACACGTGCTGAGTTCCGGATAAATGGAGAGAGACAGCGAGACAAAGGACACCAAAAGACGAAATGGGAATAAAAAGATTTGAATTTAAGGAACGATATTATATTAATGAAACAGCATTTTTAGAAAATCGGCACCAAAATTTACGACTCAATTATACTATACTTATGCGGTTTTAATTGCATAACAGTGGACAGGCCTAAGTGCATAGTTCTTTGTTAACTGAGTGGGCTTAAATAAGATTGGGAAAGATATTGTTGGCAATGTGAGTTTTCTCTCTAAGAAGTCATGTTTATAAAGTTAATGGCAATACTGATCACATCCGATATTCCACATAAATCTCAATATTATTCTATAACTATTTATGTGTAATATACATATATATTGAATGCTAATTATTGATCTGATGTATTTGCTACGTTGCACTTCATTGGAACCATTCTTACTGGCTGTGTTGACGGGATATGCGTACACGTGCGACTCCGTTGTATCGGATGGCAATGAATACAACAATGGAACATTGTTAGTTTCGTTGTTGATCACTGCCGGAGCAGTGGGCCGCATTGCATTATGGATATTTTTTAGATGATTGCTGAGTATATGCTCTACATCGTTTGAGAGCGTCGGTAGATTCAATAATTCGATAATTAGATCATGGCATTGCTTGACTGAGTTCTTACTGCTGATAATATTCTTGAGTTTTTTCTTCTCCTTATACGGTAAACGGTCTATTTCTTGTTGAAGTTTTTCCCGATGTTCGGGGGTGAAGCTACAGTATTGCTTCCTCTTGCTTTTTTGACATGTACAGCACCAGATAATTCCAAAAATAGCTCCCAAGACTGGTAGACCTACTGCAGCAGCAATTGCTAGGATCGCGAGGATTGGGAAGCCCCTGCGCCGCTCTTCAAGTTCCTCCTTCGTGAAGCAGCCATCCTCGTGGCACTCCAATTTGGTGCCATCATGGCACGTCAAGGCGGTCTGATTCCTCACACAGACCTCATTCTCATAGCGTCTCATATGCATTTGACTGGCTTTAAAACAGCTCGCGAGCCGTTCGGGCAGCTTACAATATAGTTCCGCACCAATATCGTGCTCGGTTAGTGTAGGCATAAACTGGTGCAAATCATCGCAGCCGCAGCTATGATCCACACTTGTGGCACGCACCGCACAGTCGAAGTTGAGACTACTCGGCTGTGGATTCTTAATGAAATTGTTGACGAACGTACAGTTCGTGCGCCGGTTGTGATTCCCGCTCAACTGGATGGGCGGAAAGTTTTCGAAATGATTGCCATCCATATAAAGCGACCAGTAGTTGTCCATGATGATCCAATTCTTTTCCACATGCCCAAACCGATTGCCCACTATGACAGCGTCCACACAATTCACTATCATACCATCCTCCATTATTTGGTCGATGCTGCAAGAGAAGGGGCAAGTCAATTTTAATCTTAATTTAGGAAATCTTCGACATATATCACTCCGGACACATTTCATGCTCTGTCCTACACTTACGTGTTGTTAGACAACGAAAATACTGCCGTTCCACTGCCCATAATAGCCTTGCTTTTGATTGTACCGATCTGATTCCCAATGAAAGAGATTGAGTCACTGAGCAGTTTGCTTGGAATGGCCATCGGTTCGATCGTGCCGATCCGACTGCTATCGAATTGGATCTGCTTCACGTTGGTCACATCCAGCGCGTTGCTCTGAATGTGGTCAATCGTGCAGTTTGTAAAGCTTATTTTATTGATGGATGCATCAATCCTGTTGAGCTGGTTGATGTGCGAGTTTACGATAATTAACTACATGCAAAGTAAATCATATATATTAGATATAGGTCTTTATTATTATATGTCGATATCTATGTACTCACTTTTGTGTTGGAGCTGCGATCTGTGCTGGGATTGTAGTTTTCGTTGATCTCTAAATTCTTGATGTTCGTCAATGTGCACGACATGTTCATGTTCTTGAAACAGTTCGGGTATAATACTACGTATTCATTGTGCTCGATATTCAATTTGCTCTCGCCATCTTAACAGAGAGTAACGAAGAGAGAGAGAGAGAGGGAGAGATGAGTTAAAGCTTCAATAATTGTAGTTTTTTAACTTATTCACTCACTTGAGAAAGCTTCGGGGCGTAGAAATGAGTGACCCACACCATGTATCTGCACATCGGGATAGCCAGCCTGATTTCCACCTAGAAAATTTGCCGTTAACTCCACTTGATTGCTGTCATTGTGCCCCTCGATCATTAGCATATTGACACGATTCTGTCGAAAGAGGCCATTGTGCACCTCGAATTCTGTATTCTTAGCCAGATCCACATAGAAGCTTGTTATATGGGCTGGCACATAGTACTTGCTGTCAAATATGCGCGATAGCTGTAATTGAGACAGAAACCGAGAGAGGTAAGACTTAGTTTGCGAAGTTCAGACACCAAATATATGCGCGTTCGATTAATCGAAATGTTCTCATTTACTTGATAGAGAATCACAGTCGATATATACTTTCATGCAATCGTCGAATATATAGAATGTTCTTATAATGTTGATAAATGTTTTATTCATTTTGAAATCATTCAATATCGATACGGTCGATAATGGAAAACACAGTTTGATAAATATCCTATCCCAGTATAAAAAGAAATCATTTCACCTTGATTCTTTTCATTTTAATTATCTTCTTCTTAAAATCAATAAAAATAGATAGGCAATCATGCAATAACTGTTTAAAAATTTGACCGATTACATAGTCGAAAGATTTCAATTACTTGGTTTTATACACAAGACATATTATTTAGCAATCGTAATTAATCGATTTATATCGATTAAAATTCATAAGTTAAATATTTCTGCGCAGCGTTGAATTGCATAGTTATACATTAAGTATATACGTACATATGTGCATACATGCCTCACATGGAAGGGTATCAAAACATGGACTTGTATTTCGTTTCGCCCTTCAGCTGTTGTTGTTGTTTTTTCTTTTTGTGCGGCTGTGACGCTTGACTTACATTTCTCGCGCCCGGGCATTTGGTATTATTTTTATATGTCTGTTGTCGCGACGACAACAACAATTGCAACACTGCTGCAGACAACGACAAGTTGACCGCAACGTTCATTGCTCCAGCCCTGTCGCCTTTGTTGTTGCTTTTGAATTTGCTTTTGCCTCTGCATCTGTGTATGGGAGCAATTATCTTATTAAATTAAAGGAAAATAGTTTAACTTCCAAGTGATGGGGTGACCACAACAACAACAACAACAACAAATAAGAAAGCTCCAGTTGAGACTGCTCGACTAGGAGATACCCTGAACCGTCCACTCTGACATTCTAATCATTCTGTACTTCTTCTATGCACATATACATACATATACATACATACTACATGCATCCAGACGGGCAATATTATGACAATTTATTTATTGAATAATTTAATTTCTAGACGTACGATCCTAATGAAACTTTCAGAACGTAATCATAATGTTCAAATGTATGCACATTCGAAAGTAAAAGTCTCTAGTATTTGAGGGGGTCTAATAGGTTTCCAGGTCTAATAGTGTTCAAATGAGACTGAAAACAAAATTAATTCTTCGATTATTCTCGATAAAAAAAAGTTGTCGGATGATTTATCGGAAAAAATAAGATAAACTCGCACTGCGTATGGTATACAAGAGTATGCGTGCCAGCTCTCTAGCGTTTGTATCTTCTAAGACCGACGCACTCATACAGACGGACGGACGGACAGACGTACAGGACTATATCGACTCAGCTCGTCGTCCTGATTAAGAGTATATATACTTTATGGGGTCTGCGATGATTCCTTCTGCGCGTTACATACCTTTACACAAAACTATTATACCCAAATTTCCCATTTTCAATGGGTTCAGGGTATGACAATGTGACTAACGATTGTGTTGATTGTGCGAGTGTTGAGAAAAGTTTCAGATATCAAAAGCTATGTATGTATATACACATACATTTATATAGAGGGTTTCTGAGATTTGGGGCTTACGGTCAGAAATAGGGCTGAAAAAGCAAAATCAATATTTCGATTATTCTCGATAAAAAGTTATTGGATGATTTATCGAAAAAATAAGAAAAACTTGTACTGCGTATAGTATACACGAACGAGTATGCATACCAGGCTTATCGATCTTATTAGATTTAATGTCGATCCAGGTCCGTGTGAGTCACGCGCATATCTCATAGCGACTCCTGTTATTTTATTATCGATTAAAATCCATAGCGAAAATTGTCTATAAAATTATATCTCCTCCACCTTTTTTTTTTTTCTTTTTTTTTTTTTAATTCACCCCCACTTTATGGCAATGCTAAATCTGTTACATACACATAGATTTGTATATTGCACCCTAAACTCCCCTTTTCAATGGGTTGTGGGTATCCGAGCTCCTAGAGTGATAATTTCTACTGTTGTGAAATGCGTATGCCAACTCATGTAATTAGCTTTTTATGCTGCACAAAAGAAAATGACAATGGTTATAATTGAAAGCAGTTTTTTAGTCGATATTCAGCTGGAACCTGTTAATGTAACAGAACAAACAGCAACATGTTAAATGGATGTTAAAGCGAGTTTGATTGGCCTCAGTCTGGATCTGTGATTTGAGCGAGAGTTCAAGTGCAATTGCAGTGCATTATATAATCAAGACGCACACACATACACTCAGAGACTGAGTCTGTTTTATGAAATATCCAATGGGACGTCCCCGGCCTACGTGCTGAGCTAAATGTCTGCTTGGCTTCCGCATAATTGTGACTCGGGCGTCGCTCACCATATTTGGCATGGTGTACGGGCAGCCGGCACCTTACCACGAAGCAGACCGGGCGCTCATAGTATACATATGTAAGTCCTCTGTTTATAAGCACTGTTATATAAATATACAATTACAATAATGGAGATACATCATCGAATGAAAGTCAAGGAATCATTCAATAATGGGTTATCTATTGGCAAGTCAATGAATTATGTATGTATCACAGAGCAAAGATAAGCCTAGAGCTCACACACAATGTTGTTCGTGGCCGGGAAGAGTATGCGAACTGGTCGAAACTGTTCCCTGATAGGCATGTCGGTGCCAGCAGAGCGTATCTTTGCAGTTTTTAATGAAAATATACATATGTATGTACATGTGTATAATACTGTTTTTGATGCATGTATGCACATACATACATACATACATACATACATATATATGTACATATGTATGTAGTTAGCAATTTTTATAGGATGGCACTGCTTTACCTAATCACTGGACAATCGATTATTGGAACTTTTTTTCCGAAATGATCGCGATTAATTATCGCTTAGCATACATATATTAATCATATGATTAACATGTACATACATACATACATACATATGTATGTATGTATGTTTATCGAAATTGCTTTTGAGAATGTCCATGCCAAACAATATTTATTTACACACATAAATATGTATGTATGTACATACATACATCCATACATACATTTATGGAACGCTCGCCGCCACTGCTGCCAATTCAGCTTTTTTCCCGTCAAATCTGGCTTTTTCCGAAAACAAATTGCGGGAAATATTTAAGAATTGCGGGAAGCGGGAATTCTGGCTTTTTTGAAAATGAATTAGGCTTTTTTCGATTTTTTT